GGTCAGGGGCGGAAAATGGCCACGGGCCCGGGGTCAGGGGCGGAAAATGGCCGCGGACCCTGTGTCAGGGGCGGAAAAATGGCCACGGACCGTGCCACAGGAGGGAAAATGGCCGCGTATCCTGTTCGTATCCCAAGGTGGAGTTCGCAAACCAAGGTAAATTTTTGCGGCAGGAGCTGGTCATAACCCGAAAAGTTCGTTAACAGAGGCGTTCGTAACCCGAGGTACCACTGTATATACTGCTTTAACAGATTGAGACAGCAGCTTGCCTAAGGTAACTGGGTATGGCTTTAGTTCTGTTCTGTTCTATTATTTCTATTTCTATTTCTATTTCATCCCATCCCATCCCATCTTTCAAGAATATAGCCTTCCCAAGGCTACTTACAAAGGGAAAACTTTGCAGAGTCTTGTTAAGGATTACCAAATGTATGTGAAGCAACTGAACACTCAGGAAAAGCAGGAAAAGCAGTATAAATATTATTCATTTCATTTGATAGCTTTCAGATAGGCTTTCTTCTTTACCTTTTGATTGTTTTCAGTTTCACAGAAGCAAGAGTTTCAAACAAGACTTTTGCCTACAGAGATTTTGTAAATAAAGAGCTAGAAAAGTGGGAAACTAGAAGACTATTATAGAAACACCATGCCCAATCACCTTGCCTTACTGTTTTCTTTCCAGTATGCTCAGACAATACATCAGAAATATTTGATATTGTTGATTCTTCCTACTTTCAGTAGCAAAGATGGAATTAATATCATATCAAGCAAACCCGTATCAAGCTCATCATACTAGTTTCTTGTGTTTAGTATCCTCCATAAACAAAAATACTGGAAATAACTGCCAATTATTTGCATCTTGAAACAGACAATTTCCTGCACCTTTCTACTGAAAATTTGGCTGTCTTCTGTTTAGTTACTTAATGCTTCTACAGTGCTTTCTAACATCTTCAATTACAGCCAAATATCATGTTCCAAAGTGTATCAGTAGCACTAGCCCCGAAATATCAAGATCTGTTTCCAAGTAATCAGCTTTGGGACCAAGGCATAATTCAGAATGGATTCACACGACCATACAAAAGTTTACCCTAAGTTTGTTTTTAACAATATCTGTATAACCCTTAAGTGAAAACCAATGTGGACAGAGTGCTGAATTGGAACACTGAACCCAATTTTTCCCCAGACCATGAAGTCCTATATGTAACTTCGGGCCAATCACATTCTCTTAGCCTAACTACCCCACAGGATCATTTTGAGAACTGTATATTCCATCTGGCCTCCATCTACCAGTAATGGAACAGCTGCATAGCACTGTAGATTTAAAGGCAAAAAGGTACTTCAGAAAGCACATGGGTGTACACAGCACCTGTCTGCAACTCCTTAAACCAAACATGTCTTTCCATGTGAATACACAACTGCTGCAGAGGACAGCTATGCAATCCCTGTGCATCTACTCTAAAGAGACGCAGACAAGCATAGTGGCAAAATGCAATGATCCAAAATTACAACTTGCACAAGATGTTGTCACGCCAATATCGCCATTATGTACTTGCACCTTCATGTCTTGACACACACACACATCTGCGGTATTTGTGTGATGATGCCAGCATGGATATGTCATCATTTGCCATCCTTCCACAGACAGGTGGGTAGGTGTTACCTGATCAGTCCCTTTATTGCCTTTGAATCTGAAGCACTGTACAACTGCTCAAGTAACTATAATGAGCAATGTAATAAATAATTGCTTAGGATAAGTTCAGCGTGTTCATGGCATCTTGACACAAACAAAAAATTAGATGAAGAAACATAATTGTATAACTTATATGCAGCAGTTTCATTGACAACTAGAGAAATTTGGAAATGCCTTGCACTATCTTTGATCTCGTGCAGAAATGTACCCAAGAAATGCCTATAATAAAGGAACCAGGTAATGCAGATTGACTGAGATGGCATTTTAATTGTCGAAGGAAGCCACTGTTTAACATCCCATCTAATGGTCCTTGCAGGTTCCCATCATGGCTGTTTGTTACATTTTCAAGCCTAATCAGTAATTCACTGGTTGCTGATAATCATGGAAGACTACACCATTTCAGCTTGTTAACAACCTCTGAGACTAGTTGTTAATATTTATTTATTTATTTATTTATTTATTAAATTTGTAAGCCACCCATCTCCCCCAACGGGTGACTCTGGGCGGCTCACAATTAGAATAAAACCCCAAAACAGTTAAAAAATAAATACCCATATTAATTAATTAAAAAGTCAGGCTACATAAAACAAACCCTATACATAAAAAACTAAAAACGTTCAAGATGATGGGGGGAGGGGTAAAATCAATTACCCCACAATCTACTTCCACTGGTGCGAGCCCCCACCCGGCCCCCAGGCCATCTGGCAAAGCCAAGATTTCACGCTCTTCCTGAAGGCCATGAGAGTGGAGTCACACCGCACTTCAGGAGGTAAGTTGTTCCACAGAGCGGGGGCCACAGCAGAAAAGGCCCTCTTCCTAGGTCCCACCAGTCTAATTTCCTGGTGCATTCATTCTTCTGGGTTCAACTCATGCTTTTGAATGGTAGTGAGTGGTACAATGCAAGGAGAACCAGCATTAGCTTTTGCTGATACTAAACAGATGGAAGGCAGAGTACAGAAGAACCCAGGTCACTCTGAGGTCTGCAGAAATCAGAACTTTTCTACACTGGACTAAAGTGGTTTTGCATCCAGCAATTTTTGAACCGTGGATCACTTCTGAAGCATGTACACCCCTTATAATTAAAACTTTTAAAATGTTGCATTGTTTCCTTTTTAAAGTTTTAAGTTTTACACAAAGGAAGTTTCCAATCATTCCTCTTCAAGTCCAATTTTTTTTAAAAACCCTCTTTCTTCTTAATTTTGATACTAAAGTATATGTGTGTGTATTGATTTAAAAGAATAATTTCCATTATTGCCTCACATATGCTTCTCTTTTAATGCAGCACTTAAAACTCACTTAGGATAGAACTATTGTATCACCTCTCTATTTTCTTTTCTGTTTCATTCATGTTCTGCCTGATAAATCACAGTTTGATCCTACATCCTTGTGCTCAAAGTGAAGTCCTACAAAATTCAATTTGACACTTCAACTAAGTACCCGTAAGACTGAAGCCCCTCTCTCTATCTTAAAACAATCTTCTTTTAATCCTCCCTGTGGCTCTGAATTCTTTAATCCTGGAAGGACACTTAAGGGAACTCAAGTCTATGCTCAAAACCATTTACTTTGTCACATTATGAGTCTATTAGAAATAAATTAGATATTTCCATCCAAATTTCAGACCTCTCTCTGCTGCATCTCTAGTGTTCGTTGTTCACTCTATCCCCTAGCCAGCAAGTCAAAGTATACTATCTTCCTTCCTACTAACACTTATAACTATTCCTGTCCCAAATCTCCACAATGGAAGATTCCTTTAACTTTTCTTCTACTAGGGTCTTCCCTAGTTCTTTCCTCTGCTATTATCTCCTAGGCTTCCCATAAGTCTACTCTGTTTTATAGCTCTCCCTTGTAATTCACACTCTATATGAGTCTTTCCCTGACACTCTATCTGATCTTGAATTATCTTTGCACAAGCTTTACAAGTTTGCCTGTAGAGAGGTATATATGCACTATCAGCACACTCATCAATAGCTGTTTAAAGTATTCTGTGTGCTCTTCTCTGAATCATATTATTATTGTAAATCATGTCCCTGAATCTTTCCTTTCAGCATCTAAACATTTATGTAATATTATACACAAGGGTCCTGCTGCCAATTTTATTACAATTCACCATGTTGTCTAAATCCATCTGGTTAATCTAAACTACAGTCTTCTGAAACAACCAACTTCAAACCACGGTTAAGAAAATAATAGTTCATAGCTTGGACTAAACACTGACCTATATTAAGCTTAATACGGTAGAAGCATCCGATGCCTCTGCAATGCAATGGCCAAGTTAAAATTGGGGGCTAAGCCACAATATTATTGGTTTGCATTTATATTTTTCTTTCCTTTTTTTAGCAAGATGTTTTAAAATCATGGTTTAGCATTGTGTATGCATACAGCAAGTACCAGAGCAGGAAAGGAAAAGGGAAAAATAAGGGATACAAGACTCACTCTGGCACATTCTTGTAGCACTAGACTATCATTTAGTATCATATACAAACTCTCCTAAATGAAAACTCTGACAGGAAAAATGGAAAGAAGAACAGATATTGTCAAAGGCGGACTGGAATGAGTCCTCCCCCATGCCACACCCACACAGGGGTGCTACAAATCCCTAAAACATAGAAAGATTAAAAATGCTTACTATGCACACATGTATGGAAACCTTGACTTCGTGCATATGGTGACCCATAGTCCCGAATACAGTCTAAAGAATAAAACACAAAAAATATTATTAAGCCATATGCCAAAATGAACTGATTTCTAATCTCCCCATTCTCAGCATGTTTGCTATTTTATTGAATTATTCATATATGTATAGATATAGATATATACACACACACATAAATATACCTGCACTTTTATTTTAGGATATGATTCTTCTGTTTTTTAATATGATTCTTTTATGAGATGTTGCAAATTTGATACTTAAAGAATATTCCAGCTCAGGAAAAACAAAACTGAGGGACTTACTGGTCAAAACTAAATATTTATATTCATCTTAAACATTTAGATAAAATTTTTAAAAACCAGATTTGTAAGGATCAGGTATATTGCTTCAGAGCTTAAGAAATTATTGAGACTATATTGCTATTCTAATGAAGTTGTTTCTTTGATTAGAATTTTAGGATAGGAAAAGTGTGCAGGTAGAACCCATTATACTATGAACACCTCCACTATTTGAGAATGTTAAAAAGTGGTTGCAATGTAATGACTTACTTTATAAATATATTTCTATGAACATGCACATTAATTGTACCTGGACCTTTTACCTTTCTTCCCACTCCACCTTTTCAGCATAGTAAATATTCTACAAAGCAAGTGCTTGCAAAAATTCCCTAACTTTCAGGAATGTTTTATGATGAGTTAAAGGGGGATTGAGCAAGACAGGAGCACTTGAGCACTGGAGATAAAGAAGAATTATAACTAAATATTCCATAATACATATTTTAAGATATAGCTATCTGAATTAAGGGTAACTGTTAGGATTACAAGCAAATAAATATGCTTTCTTCCTCAAAATACGGAATTCACTTGCTTGGTTTTATGACGAGAAAATCAACACTGTTAGGCTGAACTTGTTGGGGCACACCAGAGGTCAGCAACATAGCAACTACATGCATCAAAGTATCAGTGATACCTGTATGATTTTTGTGGACCTGCAAAATGAAAACCTGTTGAACGTGTTTGAAGGAATGTTTTAAAATGACCAAACTATAGAAATGATAAATCTTGTGTGATATGATAATTTTCAAGATTTCAAATGATTCTTAGAAAATCAGGGAGTATCTGGGCCATCATGATGCTATCTTATATGATAATCCAGGTAAACACACTATTAAAAAAAGTCACTGAAATCACATGAAATTTCACAATCTTGTAAGATTTCTTTGTTTTTTAAAGAATGGGGAAAGTGCCTGGGCCACTGCAAAAGATCACGTAAGCGCTGATTAAAGCCGATTAATGGGCATATAGATTATGCCTAGCAAGAGACAACAAAAGAGCACCATCATACATGAATAGGGTATAACTGCAACTCACCCAAATATTTCGGGTAAAAATATTCCTGTGAGAGAAAGAAAAAGCAAATATTTATTGGAAAGACACATTTAATCTAAAATGACATTAAGATTAAAATAAATGCTAAGAATTTGATGACTTGATAATTTGATCGTCACCCTCTGGGGAAGATGGGCAGCATATAAATTTAATAAATAAATAAATAACTGAGCAATGCAGTTTGAATGTGGTCATTTGCTCATCCTATTGATCCCATTACCATAAAACAAAGCATTTCTTTTATACAACCCTGAATCACACTAACAAAGTTAATGGCTGAATACTCATGAGTAAACAGCCAAGTTTATACTGCTTACTCATCAATAAATCTGCTGATTAAGGAAACTTGAGCTGCCGGCCTGAAAACAGTCTTCCCTATGAGCACATCCGCTGCAGCTTCAGAAACGCATTGGTGACAACAGCAATACTGGGGGAAGGAAGTGAGTAGTCAAGATTCAGTTTCTCATTCTGTCATTTGATGTTAAATTCTCCAGCTGCAAATCCTGGAACAAATTCTCTCAGCAAGGAAAGTTTCAGTTATAAAGCAGAATTATGAACCCTTAAGTCAGCAAACGTTATCATCACTAGGATGTTTGAGTTCTCCTTTAAAATATGGGTTTACATTCCTTACTTCAAACTTTGGGGCAGACCACTGACTCCACTCAAGACTGTTACCAGTATAAACAGCAGGTCCCAGAATACATTTCAGGAAAAAAGACAGTGCTAAAAGCAACGTGCCTTATAGTGAGTAACAATTCTGAATCACTGACCAAATAAGCAACGAAGATGAAACGTCCCTGCCTTTAAGGAACGTAGAACTGGTCATGGAACAATAGTTAGTCCTCATAAATTCAAACCCCAACTTGCACTTTACTTCTCTTAGGAAATTAAAAAGGCAGAGGGTCACACTAGCAATAAAAACTATAGCTACAACTCCACATTATGCTTTTCCTAATGTGAATCATCAAGCAACTATAATGGGGAAGGGGACAGTGTACCTTATGCAAGAAAATGGCACATAAGACAACAGCATCTGCTGAGAGGGCCAGCAGCAGGAGGAAGAAGACGGTGAAGGTCAGCTGGGGGCAGTGGGGGGTGGCAGGGGTAGGTGGCGACAGCAGAGTGCAGGGCGGCCAAAAGGGCAGAGATGGGGGGAAGATAGGCAGGTATGGAAGTTGAAGCACACACTGCGGTCATAAATGCAGGCCGGCTGCCAAGAACCCAAATTTTGATCACACAACTGCAGGAGCGCTGCAACGGCCATAACTTCAAGGACCAGTTGTAACCACCATTTGTTCAGTGCGGTCATAATTTTAAACAGTAGTTGAACGAATGGTCGTTAAGCGAGGACTACCTGTCGTTTTTTTTCAAGTAAGATTTGTTAGAAAACTTCTTTCTACTCAGTTCTGAAGCAATAATGTTGATGCAGCTTATGTCAAGGAAGCACTCCTAACTAAGTTGTCAAAACTGGTCTAGAGTAGAAACTTCTTTCCCATTATCCAAGACTGCTGAATTCCAAGCATTATGTGGCTCACCAGTAAAATACAAGGCAAGAGTTCTAAAGTAATGACTGAAACAGAAGGAAAACCCTGCTGGCCTTCAGCATGTACTATACTATTAATGACTACAAAAGTAAACTATTCCTCCAAAGTCAGATTGAAAAGTCCATTTTATTTGTTTGTCTGTAGCTTCTCCTGAACCACATTTATAATGATATTTGTGTTCCTGTCACATTCAGGTTTGGTACCAAGACACTTCTGTTCCCATTCATGATCCAACTGTGTTTGGTGGACTGGAACATGACTTTGCTAAGCTATGTACATAATAGGCAATTAATAACTTTCTTTGATAGGTAAATTTTCATTTTCAGAGCCTGCACGTAAATATACACAGGCATGCTGAGCAGAAAACACATTTTAATCTAGTTTGTTCTTACTAATAATAGACATCTGTGCAAGAAAAAATAATCAACAATATCGTACTGCCAATGCCAAATATACAAGCCTTCTGAAAATAGACTAAACTATATGGTGCAGTTTAGATCCAAATGGCTTCTATGATTTCTCAACAAACAAGAAAGGGAGCAAATGTGGTTTGATCATAGCAAATGTGCTTTCCAAGTTACAGCCACAGACCAATGCATTATACTGCATCTATTCTGTGCAGCAAAGCTCTTTTTTGCCTTCTAATCTGAAGTATAGAATACTCCTTAGTCAACAATTATAAATCTCAGCTAATTTGCAAGGATGAAAGAAATACACGTACTTCCATATCTTGGGGATCTACAAACAGTCATTTTCAGGCAGGGATGGGGTAGGTGGGAGAAAAACAGAATAATTTTTTATAAAAAAGTAAATAGCAGATCATAACATCAAGACTAAAGTCTAGAGTTTTTCCCCAATGCCAAAATTGATATTCCCCAAAATTCTTTTAAATATATTTTCTTTTGCAAAGTCACAAATAGAAATACTACTTATATTAAATGTCTACAGCACTGGCAGGTATACAAGCATCCCTAAAAATCCCTATACCTTCCGGTCAATCCTATTCTCCCTCCCCTGCACGTATCACAGGAAGGGTTACCGCTAAGGAAGCCTATGCCAACTGAGATTTCCATGCTATTGTCCTGCTGTATTTTCAACATAAAGAACTCAGGCAACACAAACACCCTCAACATAGTCCTTCCTGGAAAAGCAGTGTGACATGCAACATCCACAATCACATGGGCATTCCAGGAAATACTGTTAAGAAGAAAGCTTACATTGGCTGAGATGTTCACACTGTTACAGGACAAAGTTAGAAAGGCATTCCAAGATGCTGCAGTGACATTAAGCCTTAGAAGACGACAATATGAGGGACCGTATGTGGCTAAAAGAGGTTGGGACGTGGTAGACAACAGTAATCAGGAGTAAAAAATGGTGATGGAGAAGCAGTGGGCAGCAGTATCTTTGGTTGGGGAGACTTCCCCCATCTCCCAGGGAAGATTGCTACATGTACATGTTTGGTGTGTGTACATGCTTATATATTTGAGAAGCAGCATGTATGTCTACATAGGGATGCTATGCATGCACACAGGCATTTGTATGTGTGTTGGTGCACATTTGTACATTACATGGATACTGGCACATGTCTTCCCCACAGTCAAAACTTGGCACCTGGTTTGCCCTCCTATAGATTACTGACTATAATTTGCCCAAAACTGATTGTATCACATTGTTTTTCCACATAAATCCAGTTGTTTTAATATTTTTTAAAAGTTATATCTTTAGTGTGAGAAATTTATGAACTGGAAGCACATCTCTGGTAGCTCACATATGTTGATGTTCAATTTGGTAATTTTTCATAGCTACTATCATATATGAGAGCCAGTCTGGTGTAGTGGTTAAGGCACCAGGCTAGAAACCAGGAGGCCGTGAATTCTAGTCCCGCCTTAAGCACAAAGCCAACTGGATGACCTCGGGCCCATCGCTCTCCCCCTGCCCTAGAAATAAGGAGGCAATGGCAAACCACTTCCAAAAATCTTGCCCCAAAATTGCAGGAATTAGTCCAAGCAGTCACCAGGGGTCAACACTGACTCAAAGGCACCAAGAAAAAAAAAAAAATCACATACAGGGAATATTACACGGGGTAGAAGCTGTAGCCAAATTAGGCTCTTCTTTAAAATGAATCGATATCTGAAATTCAAGCATCTGTGTCTCTACAGGTACATCTCTATTTACCTTAAATTTTCTTTCTCCTATCAGACTCCTCATATAGACTTTGACTGGGGCATCATGTGTTTAAGTCATCCTTTGTTTCAGGATTATTTCTTGCCACATTTTCTTTAGGGCCTTTTATCTAACTAGTTTCTCTGCAGGATCAAAGCATCTACAACAATGGCGATAAAAAAAATCCTTGAATCTGTGCCATAAGGGCAGCATCATTAATCATAGCAAGACAAGAAGTACCAAAAATCCCTCTGAATTATATTTATTTATTAGATCTACATTCCACCTTTCCTCCGGGAGCTCAAAAAATACATAACATTCCCTCCTGTTTTTAACAACTACCCAGTAAGGTAGATTGGACTGAGAGATCATGACTGGTCCAAAAGCCATCCAGTGAACATCCATGGCTGAGGGTGGACTTGAACCTTATATAAATTAATCCAGCATTTATATGAATTTACTATACATACTGGATAATGCATGAATATTACCTAGCACTAAATATACAACTTTGAGTTACAGGTTACCTGTTCAGTATTGAATCAAACAAATTTTCTTGTCCCTTCTCAAAGCTCTCTAGAAGTTCTAGGTCAAGCAACAGGAAAAATAAAATTGTGTCACATCAAAATTATCTCTTAAAATTTCCCAAGTCTGGCATATACAGACTCATAATCCATGTCATGGGTTTTCAAAACCTAGTTTAATCCTCATCAGAATTTTAAATTCCCAAACAATTCTCCCCTGTACAAGATATATGCAAATATAAATTCTTCAACCCCAGTACATATTGTACATATGGTAAGGCGAAAGCCAACTTTCTACATTTTCATCAAGCAGACAAAACTACATATTTACCCAGAGATAATTTAAAAAATGCCATTTCTGCTTTAAAGTAAGAATGTTTAAGTGCTATAAAAAACCAGAATGAGGAGCGGGCCTCCAGATGTTACTAAACTATGAATCCTGATAATTAAGCTCTCTGGAACTGTTCAACAACAGCTGGAAAGATTGTGTCTTGAGTAAAAAAAAAAAAAAAATAAAGCTAGAAAGTTTACATCTTCCAAAAAAACCCAACAACTTGATACCTCTAGAACCATACTAGAATTGCATGTAATCCAGGGTTATTGTTATTTCTTAAATATTTCTATATATTCAGACCCCTAATAAGATCCCGGGAACACTAAGATAAGCCTACTCAAACAGAATCAGCTCAGTTTCTTCCAGGAATATAAGTCAATATATTTTGCAAGATCAGGGCCACACATGAACACATACCAATTTATATTCCTTTCTCACATGCCCACATCTTTCTCCTTCTCTCTTCCAGCAATCCACTGCAGATCAGTAACTTCTTCCTATTGTTATCAATGGCCAGTTTGGATTCCTTCTGTTAATGGCAGCATTAATAATATGGGTGATCTGTTTCTTGCTGGCCAACTGATGAGGATGATCAGCTGGACAACAGGGAAAGTAAAGAGGGCTCCCCATAGATCTTAGGAATTATTGTCCATCTCTTTGTCAAACCACGCTTGAAGATCATCTACAAAACTGACTAGCAGAGAGAGATTAAATAATCATGCTTGCTCATATATTGCAGTGATTACACTGCAAACTTCCTAGCAATATTCCTGACATTTAGGCATCATGTATCACATTGTTTTTTTTAATATGACTTGAATAAATTGTGCCTGATAGAAGATTACCAATAGAGTTTTACTATTGTTGTTTTTAATAAACCTTTGTTATGAATGTAGCTATCAATTGCTACTAAAATTCAATTGATGAATGAAATGTCTAAGTTCAGAGGCAGATATCTCCAGATTCTGGAATTAAATCTTATATCTTGATATATTTTGTGATCTTCCAATGGCAGTTCCTATCTAGCACTGGACAAGGTTAGTTTTGCCCTAATTAACATGGAATTCTAAGATCCTTTTTAGGGAAGATGATCTATAAAACCAGGCAACATATTATTGGTGTATAGATTTATGTATGAAACCTGTCGATTGCTAGTCTCTAGCGACTAGAAGACACACAATGCAGGGCAGGAAAAGAAGGAGAATGAAGGGAAATCCCATTATGCAAGTAGAGATCTATTTACATGAGACAAAATCACTATTGCTTCAGGTATGCTACATTACCAGGTAATTACCATATTTGAAAGACAGTTTATCTGTCCCTGCCTCCACCCTTGCTTCTTCCTCAGAAAACCATCACTTTTTTTCTACTCCATTCCTCTTCATAAACCATACAACTTCACTGAGATTTTTCAAAACTGGAGGAAATTAAGAACACAAATACAAAAGAGTACTTAAAAAAAAACCTGTCACAGAAAAATCAAACATTTTCCATAGTACAGCTTTAGATTAATGTAACAGCAGAATATAAAACATTTGTCCCCTTCTTGCAATGGAACAATACAATTTTGTCACATATTTTTTCTGCAGGCTCATTTTTGGATTAAATTTTTTTTCTGCGTTTTTCTGACTAAAATTTAATAAACAATACCCTGGTGACCTCAGATTACCTTTTTCACTCTGGGGGAAATTCTCTACCCATCTATGAACCATGGGTGCAAATGTGTAAAAAACCATTTCAGCAAAGCTTATATTGATTAAATGTGGAGTTTAATGTAATAATTACTTTTTAATTTTAATAATTAATGTTTAAAAGGGGTAATAATAAAGTTCAAGTCAGAGAATGAGAGAACAAATTGTTCATTTTTGTTCTTCTCAAAAAATCCTTGACTTTCTCTGGAGCTTAAGGCCAAAAGTTTAAAGGAAATATCACAAACCAAAATTTGTTCCTACTTAGCAACTATCCTCTGTGCTGTAAAATGCACAGTACTGTATGCTGTGAACCTAGTCTGAGAATATGTTAAGACATGTTTTGCCTTAAATATAAAAATTAACTCCTCTAAGAGAAAAGAGCCAAGTCCCTTTCATTCTCAGTACTTTTGACCTACATAACTCTCATTCTATCCACTCCCATTCAAATCATTAACAGGAATACACAGTCCTGTGCAAAAATCACTAGTCAGTCTCTCTGTCAAAACATTTATTCCCTAAACTAATACCAGATAATCCCTGTTTATAAAAGAGTCTTTTCAGAAAAGTACATCCAAAAGTTGCAAGTGAATCAGAAAATTAGAATACATAAAATTATTTAAATGATGTTTTATTTAAAATTATTTCTAATTATGTTTATGCTATTGAGACTTCTAGCATTAAACAGCTGTAGATTTAGGTCCATACTCTCTCACTAAGCACAAGGTTTTTTTAAAAAAATCATTCTCTTATGAGTAACTCAGAGACTGTTTACATTTACCTACTAATAAAACTGCTGATCCAAGTTAGCATAATCTTCTAATTCAATATGCAGTATTGAGTACCCGGGTTTATTCAACAAACCCTTGCTTGCAAGCATTCAAAAAAATCAAAAGAATATTCAAATTAAGCTATGCAAAATGCAAATTCTCCTGAGTCATCCAATAATTCAGATTCTAGTAAATGCATTTTGTCTGTGGTAGGATTTAACTTGTCCACAAAAGTAAGCACTCACACACACACACAAAAGCAGGACACCCAAGGAATCCTTTCTAGAAGAGAGGTTGTAACTTAGCCCTATATAAGCTACTCTCCTCCCGGCGTTTTACTATTCTTGTTTGCTCGGCCTCACAATCCAAATACAACGATCTGTCAAGCGAAGGGCGTGGTTTAAGTTATTTATCTAATGGCTCTTCTCGCAAGCAACTTCTCCAGCTGTGCAAACACCTGGCGCCCTCATTCCCATTCTGGTGCTTTAGGATGACTTCACGCTATTCTTCTTCCTCAAAAAAACCAGAACAAAATCTTAATGATCCCCGGCGCTTCTCTGGGCTTTTCTCACCGTCTCAGGGTCGTTCTCAAACACTTCTCGGGCTTCCTCCCGGTTGCAGAGTTCCTCCACGCACTCTCTCTCCAGATGGCCTTGCTTGGTCTCCTCGAAGATCTGGTAGGCTCGGCGGTGCCTCTGGCGAAGGAACTGGGAAGCCTCCTCCCGGCCTTTGTAGAACACCACAGCTGGAGGAGCCCCCCAAGAAGTAGGGAAAAAAGGGGGGAAGCCATCAATACCGGGCTCCCCGAAGAATGACGCGGCCGCGCACCTCCCCAGCGAAGTCGCCGGCTGCCTCCCTCGCCCTCCTGCCGGCGCGCGCAGCTGTTTCCCCTTTTAAACAGTCCTCCGAGCGCGGAGCAGCGGGACGGGCACAAATGCCGCCGTTCGCGAAATCCTCGGACGGCTTCCGCCGTCCCCTCCCGAGCCCACCGGCTCCGGGCTCCGTGTCGAGCTCTGCGGGCTCCCCACCCCATTTCCGCGCCGCCACAAGGGAAGCC